TCCATATTTGGAAAGCATCTATCTTATCAATCCTATCTCTACTATCCATCTCAGAAGTTTCCCTTACACCTTTATCATTACTGGAWATAGARTCTGCTGATGTTTTCWCGTTCACTGATTCTCCCAATTTTTCACTTTCCCAATTCTCATTTTGATTHCCCTTCTCTTCAGATTCAGATATGGAACTTTCACCACCAAAGTCATCATTTTGTTTTTTACAAAATTGATCACTTGTTCTAGAATGTTCATCATTGGAAATAGCAACATTGGCATCTGCTGTTCCTAGTGTTTCATCCCSTAAACTATTCTTCYCAACATCAGAACYAAAWTGTCTAGAATGTAAGCTAAAGTYMTTTYTTCCTTCYCTGYCATGTTGATCATCTGTTCTAGAATGTTTTTCATGATCAGTGCTTTTTTTATTGMCTGCATATATTCTTTGAGACTGTTTTGGTTCATAATGACCAAAACTCATARCAGCRCAGCCATCAACCRATGAAGCTTCTCCAAGCACAAAATTCCATTYATCGCTAGGATACATGTCTTCCCATGTGATACCAATGATTAAAAAAGCATCATTAGGAAGGGACTGACGCAAGTAAGAAAGAACATCTGAAAAAGAAATGAAACATTCTTGGGTTTCTGGGGATTCCTGTATGCAATGTATAGAGGTGTTTGTGATACAGAGGTGTCTGTGGCATAGACGTGTCCGTAAAATCTAATATAAAGTGTCCGTAATATAGAGGTGTCCGTAGTATAGAGAGGTGTCTGTAATATAGAGGTGTATGTAATATTGAGGTGACCGTAGTATAGAGAGGTGTCTGTAGTATAGAGGTATCTGTAATATAGAGCTGTCCATAACAGAGCAAGCTGTCCGTAAAATCGAGGTGTCAAGGTAAGAACTGTGCCCTGATCGGCCTTACCTCCTACAAGAATTTGTTTTTTGCCTGTTCCACCGTGAATTCTCGTTTTACAACAGAGTTCGTCCAAGTTTACGACATCGCTCAACTCCACATCAAACCCAAGGTAAAATAATGACACAAACTTGCAAAGAAGTTCAAAAAGAGAAAATTCCAAGCCATAAATACGCTCCCCAACAAAGCTCGGAAAAGGACCAATTGGTAATATATAGATTTTCCTTTGCTTTAATCGTCTTCGTTGTCTAAAGCTTAATTTCTGGAAGTCTCTTTGTATTTTCCATTGAGGGAATGTTTGGCCTTCAAAACGAACTCTCTCTGGAGSCAAARGTGGGTCGAGTGGCGGGAAAWWTWTGCTCGATTTTGATGAGTTTTGAGGTAATCCCAGTTCAAATAGACTTCTGTAACAAGGTTTATAATGTTTAAGCTTCCCCAAAAGCACGCGAGAAGTCTTGACTTTATCTTTTTCCGATGAATTTTGCCCTGAATTCTTAACTCGATCAAACCACTTCCAGCGCTTCGCCATTTTGAAAGATACTTTTCCCAGGCTCCTTGGACGAGTGTCCCTATTTCTTTTTGCTTTTTGTTTTTATTTAAATATCTTACCAATTTTTGATAAAAAATAGATTAAAGTAATTTAAATTGTTTATTATTACGAT